TATCATTTTTAAAATACTCAGATACTAATGCGAATTGTTTGACACGTGAGCATCTTAGAGACAGACAGACTTGGATTTGGGTAATCAGAACTCCTTTCCATTGTTCAGTGTAGTAGAAGTTCCTGCCTTTCTGTGTGCAGCTTTCAGCTTTTTAGTCCATTCTGCTTTTGGCATTAACAGGTTTCATCAGAGAAATAACAAGTTTTATCTGGAATCTGAACTTTGATAGCTGAAGGATGCTTTCTTAAGTATTTCAAGAGCTTCTTTGCTTTGCTTCTTGCTTTAAAAAAGGTCATGAGATTCTGTTCCTTAGTAAATTCTGTTGTATAACTCCATCTGCCAACCTTACTTCCTATATAAAGCCTAAGCTTGCACTAATCCTGTATCTCTAATTGAAGAATCCTGCTGTTCCTCTTCTGTTTTCTCCTCCTGCTTTGTGTGCTTGGCTGACTGTGCACAAGCTGCTTCTTAAACAGTTTTAACGTTAAAAAGGTCAAACTGTAAATTACAGCTTAACATTTTAAATTCCGATTAACAGACCATATTTGAAAATAAAATTAAAAATAATTTTTAAAGAAAAAAAAAAAAAAGCTTTGCACTGAAAAGCTTGTGTGGGAGAAGTCCAAATTCTAGTCTGCTTAGGATTGTGTCTGCATTTTTTGGCTTTTACTGTATATGTTACTATTTGTAGCTGTTTACAATTTAAATTGATACTGAAGATTGATTCCGCCATTTAGGCATTTCTTGGTTCTTAAATTGCAGCGATGTGTAAAAGTGATATTGGAATAGTATTATGCTGTTACTGAAATAGGTCAAGCTACAAAAATTTGTGCAGTGTCTTTTAACAAAATGTTCCATGATAATTGAAAAGCTATTGAGAGCAATTGGTTTTTACCCTCTGATTGGGACTTTTTTCCCAAGCTTTATTATTCATTTAGTATATTTCTACACATTGGTAGTGTTTTCATATGGTTTGTTCTTTCTTCTATGCATGTTTATGTTCTGTTTACTTTTCTTCAAAACATCTCCTCTGGCTGGAAAGGTGAATTTTCCATGTTAACTTCTAATAAAGGAGGAAAATACAGGGAACTTCATGTAGCTACAGGTGGGTGTGAAACATTATGTAGCTCATTGGATTATAAATTCACTCACTTTTCACAACAAAATATTTCGAAGTACTTTGAGAGCCACTTGTATGTTAACTAGAAGGATTTGTGCTGATGTTTTCTTGTTTTTGGCTTTGGTAGATTCCTGCTCGGGTAACTACCAGTGTTCTTCAGTCCACTGTGCACCGATGAAAATTTATTTTGCCATGGAGGGCAGATAATGCATGGCTGATCTCCTATGTTATCAATGGCTTTACTAGCAAAAATACCCTAAACTAGAGTGGAAACAATACAACTGGAGTTCTCCATGTGACTTAAAAGGCACTTGGAGGAACATGGACAGACTCCAGCAGCTGCCATTACAGGACGCTTTTGCCAGAAACCCAGTGACCTTAAGAGAACCCTGTGGTAACAGGGCTGGAAAAGAAAGATGGTTTACAGAGTTGACCGCCTGTTACTGGATGGCCATTTCAGTTTTCCCTCCACAGGCGGCAGACTTTATCCCCTTTTTATTATTCTACTGTAACTATAAATCTTTTACTTGGTTTAAGAAAGTTTTTGTATCATTTTGCTAAAATTATTGGGTTAATTCTCTGTAAAAATCTCTTGCTTTTCTCTGATTTAAAAATGTAGAATATAAACAGTCCTAAACTGAAGACAATGACTTGAAATTTTTTGTTTAAAAAATTTAGTCTGGCAGGGAGCATGTAAAGGAATCAAAATCATCTGACTGTATTTAAACTGTTCACTTATTTGTATGGTCTTATTCTGACTGAGAAGTTTTTCTCACAAAATTTTTAAAACTGTTAAGAGTTTTACTTTACTGTTTGTTGTCTTCGTTCACACTAAACATTTCCATGTAACACAGAGGAGTTTTTAATATTAATTCTTTTGCATAAAAGAGAACTCAAGACCCTGTAGAGAGTCAAAGTATAGCATAGATGGTAAAAGTTGATTTTTTTTTTATTTTTTTTTTTTAAGTATGTGAAGAACAAAGTGAAAGACACTGGCATTTAAATGGATTGTTTCAAATACTGGTTTTACTGGTAAAATTTTGTTTCCTGCACTCTGAGGCTGGTTAGCTTGGAGAGTACTGTAAGTGGACAATGCATGTTGCCACTGAGTCTAGTGAATTTGCACATTTCATCCAGCATCTACATGTTCAAAAAAAAAAAAAAAAGATGATGATGATTCAGGCCTTCTGTTTCATGCCAAGACTCAAGGAATTCTAAAATTAAAAAAAAAAGTGAAAAAGTGTTCTTGTTATGAAATCCAGAAAACTTAAAACTCAGGTGCATACCATATTTAATTCCTAACTGTATTCTACGTGAGTACTTCCAGAATCATTAGCCATTAGCTTAAGAATGAATGACTCACGTTGTCCAAAAGAATGTTGCAGGTGTTGTTAGCAAATGTCCATATGGAATATGGGAAATACTTTATATTTTTTTGTTACAGTAAACGGTCTCATAAACTAAAAATAGTTACGTTGTCCATGTAGTAATTGGACCACTATCAGAAACGCTCTTTACGCTAGTATCAAAGAGGTAATGGAAAGTTCTGTGTTGGAAATGAAAGTACGTATGCAGAGTTTGCTTGAACAGTTAGTTGTTTTGAGAAATTCTTCCTTGCCTAAAAAATTTTAAAGGATTACTGGTCTTAAGAGTTTTATGAAGAGTAATTTTTATTGTTTCAAAGTTTGCAGATTCCTCCTTCCCCAAAGAAAAAAAGTCCACATGTTAGATATCAGTCATTTTTCTTTGGATGTCTTTGTGACATTAAGTATTTGCTTGTGTGTACTCTGGATCTGACAGGGGAAACTTGTCTTGGAGATTACAGTGGAAGAGCTTAAGAGTTTAATCCATGGATAAGTTTGCAATAGAGAATTATTTCCTCAGTCACTATAAACTTCAGTATTTTAGGCATGTGCACTACCATTTGAACAGTTTTACACTTCACTGTGCTTTCCTTGTAAATATCTGTGTTTAATAATGTACTGTTAGAGGGACTTACAAAGGCTGCCTCTTTATTCTCTCTGTATCTGGAACATTAGATTGCTGTGCTATACTTAAAAGTTGATTGCAGACTTCTAGAATTGTACTCAGTTGTGGGCAATTTTTGTCCTTCATAATAGTTAAAATCCCATCATGTGGAAAATAGTTGGACTGTCTGTATAAACCTGTGTATTGGAAACCAGTATCTCAGAGCACTTCATTTGTACTACCACTGTATTTGTGTACTTTAACAATTGTGTAAATACATTCATAATGACTTCTATTCTTCTTTGGTGTAACTTACTTACAATGACTCTTTACTTGGTGTAACTTTTGTATTACTCTTTTTGTAATGCGTTTCTGTACATATAAAGAACATTGTCAATTCCAAACATTTGAAGAAATGATGACAGGATTTAAGTAGTCATGGTTAGATTGCAGCAGCTGGGGTATGCAGGAACAAAGAGAAGAAAGACATTAATTGCTTTGCTCAGAAAGAGCATGTCTTTTGTCTCTATAAAGGTAAACGTTTTTGGTTGGATATTACTTCTTCTGTGGGTCTTTTTTTTTTTTTTTTTAAATAATATAATTTATCAAGTAATACATTGTATTGAGAGGAAGTATGGAAAGAGAATTGCTGTTGAGACTTGATCTGTTATAAGAGCTGGAAAAAAGCAATAAGAAATGCTGAGCTCTATATACAAAGCCTTGTATGATAACATTACCGGCTTTTGGTATGTAATCCTCAAAAGTCTATTCAAAATCTGAGGGCACACGTACCTTCAAAATTACTGTTTCTGATTCGTATGCCTTTAAAAGCCGGAAGGATATTTATTCTACCTTCACATTTTTTATTTAAAACTGTCTATGTGTTTTTATGTGGGAAATTTCACATGTAATGCAGTTGTACTTAATCATAATGGTTAGAAAATCCCTGAATTCTTTGTGTTATAAGTACCTTGAAAATAATTGAAAATAAGTCCTATGCCTTAACTTTTAAGCTTCTCTTAATGTTACTCATTTCATATATAGAAAATACTAAGCGAAAACAAACAATGTTTCTGTTCTATTAATAGTACTGAGCCATATGGTCAGAAATCTAAATTTAATCCAGTTGTGAGGAAGTGTAATCCCCAGTGAACTTAATCTTGCATCAGAGTATCTTCTCCACAGAGTAGTTCCTACAATTCACTGGATAAGACAGGTTAATAATAAAACATTTCTGCACTTAAATTTGGGAAAATTCTTGACCAAAAGGTATGGGTAGGATCTAGCCATAAGAAGTAAAAACATAATGAACAAATAGGAATGTGGAAAAGGGGAAATTTGTGTGTACCATCCTAAAGCATTAAGCACGTCTACTGTGTCTTTGTCTCCTGTGACCAATTCAAGATACTTGAGGAGGGTGGAGAGGGATTGGTGAAAGTGGAACAGAGAAATCATTTGGTATGTTATGGACTGGGAAGAAGGTGTGTAGTCCCGATTGCATAACCAGACCAAACATTTAGTTTAACTACAGTCCTCATCTTGGTTCAGACCTGCAAGTGTTAAAGGCACAAAGTCAATGCAGTGCCCCTAGTATTTCCCATAATCCTTAAGGAGTCACAGGGTTTTGAGGTCATGCAGGTTTTTTCTTGAAAGACCCCAGACAGATGTATCTCTGTTCCCACTGTAAATTGTATTTTAAGTTTGTCTGACATTGTCAACCAGTTGATTTTATGCAATTTTTTTCAGTAAGACTAAAAAGACTTTTTCTATTTAAGATTTTTAAATATTGAAGTTCAGACGCACTTCTTCATTGGCTTCAGAGTTTTCCACTGAAAACATTTAAACAGCTGAAACGGTGGTAGGCAAAGAGTCAGAAGGGCAAGAGCTATCCTCATTTCTTAATGTTCTGAAGCATTCATCTAGGACTTATGAGGAACTTGCCAGATAGAATGTTGCTGAGATGATGAAGCAGGTATTGAGATTGGTCCAAGAACAAACGGCATATAACTAGAGGTAAGTAGCTTTTTACTCTGTTTACCTCTAACTTTCCATACTTTCTCAGACAAGTGCAGGATCACTGATCTCACAGACCAGGTCACCAGAAGATCTTAAGAGCTCCTACTTTTGCAGTAGATGCACATTCTTCCTACTACCACAAAGAGTAGCTCTGTGTCAGAAATACTGAGAAGATATGTTAAGATATGTATTCCAAATCTTTTGCTTCTCATATGCAATGCCTCTGCTATTGTCAAAGTTGTTTACTCTTCGGATATCAGCAGATCACCTTCCTTCAGGCTTCTTGTTTTGGGTCCAGCTGCAGGGAACAAAAGCAGTGCAGTTCAGATCATGCCCATTTTCCTCCACGGTGAATGGCTGGACTCGTTTCAGACTTCAGAGAATACCAGATGCAAAGATAAACTGTGGTTTTCCTTCACAAGGATGTGCTGTGACTGCGTGCTATTGAAGTCTGTCATTTTGGTCCACCCAATAACATTAATTCTTGTAGTAGGACATGGCTTGAGCTGGCCGGTAAGGTAGCGAGGTATTTGATTAAACCTTAAGTCGTACCACTTTTGACTAAACTAAAAAAAAAGAAATAATTAAAAAAAAAAAAGTAATCATGCATTTATTCAAATGTACATTTTATGTAAACTAGACTTAGGATCTCCAAAGTGTAAATACGCAGAAACTTTTGAAGATGAACTTGAAGAGATTTTTCCCAGTTTGCTCAGCAGAGATGCTTAGTGTTAGGCACAAATAGATGTAAACTTCCCAAGTATCCATGCTTCTAAATAGCAAAATGCTTCTCTTACTGCATTGAAGAGACTGTGATTTTGATGCACATATGTGCAGCTTTGAAAATATACTTTGAGGAGGCATCTCAGCTCGGTATCCAAAAAATACCAAGTTAAATACATTATGAGGCAATATTTTTTTAGGAGCTTTCAAGTTCTAAAGAGCATGCTAAACGGTATCACTTGATGATAAAGACAACTTACTGACAGGTCAGTACTCAAAATATTGAGGGCTTTATAAGTCAAAGCAGCTTGTAAAACTTCACCTGCAAATGCAACCTGGAGCACTCTGTAGAGGACAAAAACTCCTAAGTGAAGCACCACAAAATTAATAGCTATTATTTTAAATAAGTTGATGCTTAAAAGTGATCTTCAGAATCATTTGCAGAAGGAAGCCCTTTTCCATTTTAGAAGTGGTCAAACTCTGAGTCATTGCAAAAGCAGTCCCCTTGCAGACATCAAATTCTGTCTGCCTGACAGCTTGCTGTTTCCTGTTAATTTTATTTTTCTCTGTAAGCACACTGCATTTGTATGGCTATGTGAGCATGTGCAAACGGAACCCAATTTCCAAATCTGGGCATTAATGGTATTTTTTTTCTAAGCTTTTTTTCTCACATCCACAGTTATAGACAACCAAATAAATATTTATTCACTATATTTGCAACTGTTTACTAGAAAAGCATAAAACAAATCTAGGTATAAATGTACATATAACATTAAAGTGCATTAACAGGAAATAAAATGTCATCTTACTTGCACAAAACTGAAGTGTACTCCCATAATCCCCAAGAAAACAGTAGCAGAGAGACAGACAGGCATGCATAAATCAGTACTTACCATCTAAAATCTAAGAGTTTGCATGCTCCTGAAAACCCTCTGTTTATGATTGCCTACAAAATTTAAAATTTTCTTTGGCAGGTAACAAAGGTACATATATGAGTGTACTTGGGAATTTAATTTTTAAGTTGTGAGCGCTTGATTTTTGGAATCTTTTCATTTCTTCTTAGAGAATGATGTTACATCACCTAACACTTGTTTGGGTGGGATTTAATACTAACAAGCACAAGAACTGTCCAGTCTTTCATACTATCTCAATTCTCAGCTTAAGGGAACTAGGTGCTATAGCAGCTGGTACTACTGAAGACTTGCTGTAATGTATATAAAGACAAAAAAAAAAAAAATAGACTGAGATTTTAAACAGAAAGCTCCATGACTTCAAGATTTTTAGTTCAGCAGGGATCTTGTGGGTTCTGATCAAGATCTTTTATTGAGAAGTAACAATAACAATAAAAAGTAAACTTATGTTTGTGTAGGAGAAAGAATAAAATAGTTTTAACTATGGATTGCTCATTGTCCAGTAAACAGATCTCTTTTCCACTCTACTTTGTATTCTGCATGTTTGATACATACATACATACGTGCTCACCTGTTGATATATTCTGTGTTACAGGCATGTATACGCACACCCTCTTTTTGTATTAAGAAATTATGGGCCTAAGATCCATTATATGATCAAGCATAGAATATTTTAACCATAATTCCTATAGCTCACAATTTATAGAATATACAGAGATCTAAAAAACATTTAGCATTATGCTAGCCTGTGCATTAAGAGGCTGTTCGTTAGTTTCAGATAAATAATCTGTGAAAATAGTTCTTCATCTGTTTTGTATTATACTAGTTAGATATTTTTTCATCTTGGATTTCAGTTGTTTCTCTTACAGACTTCTTAAATAGATTCCAAAACTATATGTAAAAAAAAATTATATATGTACCAGTAGCAGATGCAAGAGCAACTTAGCATGTTGCTGAAATGTTAGGTAATTCAGTTGTACAATTACCTGCCTTCCAACCTTTCTTTTCGGTTTTCAAGTCTCAACATTTTTAATAGGTGAAGGATGAACAAAGGTTCATCTACATCTATGTTGCACAGCACTATTCTGTTTGTGCCTCCAAGCAATTGTTCTCTTTAGCAATGCTTTCTGACTCCGACCACCCCCATTCTCAAAATAAATGAAAGAGCACGTCTCACAAATTGCACATATGGGATTTGCATCTCTACGGAGTTGAGATTAAAGAAGTACTGTACCAAAAATACCTGGAAGGGTTTAAAAGCAATTTTTTGTGCATTTATAAGCAGAATAAAATTAATGAGAAGCCGGCTTATCTTGCCAAGAGAAAGGGATTCAGATACAATCTTCTCCTTCTGTATGTAAGTTTCTAGCTGTTCTTAGGTAGCACTAGGAGTCTAATGAATTGGTGCTTTTATTTTTTTATTTTTTTTATATCGGGGGGGGAGGAGGAGCTCAATATAGAGGCCTTTGTGGCCATGGCTGTAGAAGCAGTTGGGGTACATGCTTTTAAGGGATCTTGCTGAAATGTTTTTCCCTTGTCTTAATAGCTCCCTCATCTGCCCCAGTCATGTAAAAGTGTAACTTAACATTTCTGGTTTCCATCTTAACAGTGAAGTTACCTACGGAAAATGAAACATAGTCCATGAAGTCAGTATAAGCCAAAATTTTATAGAACTTAAAATCTGTATCTGGAATAACAGAATATCCTGATTTGGAAGGGACTACAAGGATCATCAAGTCCCAATTCCTGCAGAATGTATTTAAAATTATCAAACCCTAAGGTCACAGAAACAACTATTTAGTTCCGTGATAACAGTATAGCAAAGAAATTTGGTGATCAAAACCCATAATAGGACAAAAATGACTATTTCAGAATCTGCATTCACATTTGGAAGGTTTCTAGTTTTTACATTTTGAAATGCAATGCAAAACTTAAATCTGCAAGCTGCATTGGGCCTTACTGTATCATCTGAAACAGGCTCTGTGGTTTCCATTTTCGTCTTGCCCTTTGACATGGTGACCTTCTGGGGCTAGCAGAGTAGTATTCCAAGTGCTGATTTAATCTTTGGCAAACTGGAACTAAGTTGTAGGACTAAATTCTGATGCCTTGGACATGCCAGTGCAATTTCTGCTGATAAATAGGAAATATATATTAAAAAAAAAGTTTTAATGTCCTATATGTAATATAAACCTTTTAGTTCAGTACAGCATCCATTTCCATTTAAGATCAGTCCAAAGGGGGCGGGCGGGAGAGGAGAACATGATCCTAAGATTTCAATTTCTGTGCAAATTTGTCCTAACAATGCAAAACCATTTTGAAAAAATTACCAGAGTGGAAGCTGGTATGCAAAATAAATTAGGGAATGGTTAATGGTTTGGGGCCTTCCTTAGTTTTACTCTGTGTTTCTGCTAAAATGATAAAAGTATGAGACAACTAATGATGTTACTTTGTTATGCAGGGATACAGAGGTTTAGGGATTAGTATCTTACATATTTTAATTAATAAGAGATGTGGAACATCAAAGCCAATGTTCCTGCTATCAAGAAGAACAACTGAATCCATTACAAGTAAGCCTGTTTTGAAGAGTGTTACTGCAGTCACAAACCCTACAGAGCTTTTTATAAACATATCTGAAAGTTGGGTTGAAGTAGCATGATTTCGTAGATGACATTTCTTCTATGTATTTGGTAGGGGAAAAAAAAGTGGAAAATGCAGAATGCCTTCCTTTTACCTTTCTTCCCAATCCAAAGTCTTGACAATGAATCTTTTCTCTTTCAAATCTGCTGTCACTACCTTGTCTGATCTCTTTGTGTTTCCTCTTCATGCACTGTTAGAATTTTAAGGACTGTACAGCCTCCCTGTGCTGTTTGTGCAATGAACAAGTAGTAGAGCAGACCCCATTCTTGATGGGCTCCTATGCAGTGCTGTCATAAATGTGATCAACAGTTGCACGATGTTTCTTCAAACAACAAGAATGGCACCCTGAACTTCTACAGATTAAGCAAAAGGATAGGGAAGTGGGATAAAAATAAAATAATCCAAATTTAAAAAAAAAAAAAATGTTAAGTCCTTCCTATGTTGCTAACATTGCATTTCAAAGATAGCTAACATGTTTCAAAGTAGTCTCAACCTTTTCCCTCAGTTAACAAACGTATATCTATCTTGTTATATGTGATCTGGACACGTAAAATGTTTCTTTTATATACATAATGGATACTCTTTCAGAAGAGTCTAGAAAACCTAATTTCCATCTTCTGGATATTACTTGTAATATTTTCAAATGTTACAGGGAAACTGTACTGAAAACTGTACGTGAATGGAGGTTAACTTTGCTTATTGTCTGTTGGGATTGAATCTGCTCGTTTTTTCTTTCAGCATTACCTAGGAATATCACTTGTGTAATCTGCTGAAGACAGTATTCAGCAATGTACCTTTCTGCGTACAGTTTCCAGATGATAATTACAAAGATTACGTATTTAGACAAACCTCAGAGAAATACGCTGGAATAAATCAAAGTAACAGATATATAAAAAATTATATTAGGGTTGAGCCAATTAATCTGAGAATCTAAAAAAGTAAGAAATTCAAAGACGTAATGGAGACCTTTTAAGTTCCTGAGATTTTTCTCCATCTCAAACTCTTTCTCCTTCACAAAGAACACTGCAAGGGAAGTTACATTTAGCTGCACAACACAGCAATTTCATCCATATTGTCTGAAAGCATACATACAGTGCCACTTTTTTTAAGATATATCCTTCCTACATCTCTTACAAGTGAACAGTTTCTGGTGATGCATAGCAAGATTCTACTTGTGTTTATAAAAGCCTTTTAGTTTACATAAAAAGTATAACCACACCGTTTCACCTTTTACCGATAAAGCTAATTTTCTGGTAACAGGTTGTCTAATAAAACAGCTCTCAGAGAGACTTCATCAGCTGACTGTCCTCCAGTTAATAAAGCAGATGGCCCAGCCCTAAACTAGTTCTATTTCTAAAATAAATAGCATTGAAAATCTTTGACTCTCTTCTAAAGACTTTGTCAATTTTCTGCCACACTCACACACAGGTTTCTGGGTTAGTTACAACTTCGCCATTTTTTTCAGGCTCATCTTTTAGAAACTGTTCCACTTCAATAGAGTCCACCTTGGCATCTTCAGGAGTTTTGTCTTCAGATTTGTTTAGTTCCTCTCTTTCTGCTGCTGCTTCTTTTGTATGTGGTTCTTCTGATTTTTTCTTAATGCAGAAGAAATTTCCCAAGGCCAATACAAGTGCTGAGGTGGTAACTTCAATTCCAGCAATAATAAAAACAAACATGTACCTCCGTGTTACATCCAAGAGTTTTCCTGAAAAAGACAATATTCCAGGTAAATGACAAAAGTGATTATATTGCAAAGATTTTTTCTCTGTATTTTAAAAATTTAAATGTCTCCTGCCTAGAAGTACCATAACTATAACCAAGTTTTTGAAATAGCACTTTAACAACCTCATAACAAAATATTTTTCACACACACAGTATCATGCAATTCAGCTGAAATAAAACCAGCATCGTCTTCATATGCAGGAGATGAGACAAGTGTCACATATTTCAGATCAAAATCCATGGCCAGAATCTGTACGGTCAGCTTCCTCTCCCACCTTCCTTTCTACGCAGGCAGTGAAAATGTCTGTGGAGTCAAATGGCCTGCTAAAATGCAAGTCTCATTTAATAGGCGGCCTGGGGTAACTGACTACTTCTGATGCTTTAGCCAGATTTTCACGAGACTGAGTGAAGGTGAAAGAAGAGGAGAAAGGATGTGAAGAAAGTTTCCCTTTAAATCTGAAGATCAGAGGAAGCAAAGCACAGTACTGTTTTTTCCATAAAGCATTCTGTCACAACAAAGACAATAGGTGGTTTTCAGTGTCTGGTGTAAACACTAAACATTCTATGACACTGAAGTGTTGTTATTTGCAGTACAGTGTCTGTTAAATTTATGTACTTTAATAATGAAGTGATTTTGGATTCAAATTATGGTAAAATAATATTTTGCAATGTTCCCTTATCCTTGGGTTGTGAGACGTGCAGCAGAAGCAGTCAATCTACCTTCCTGAGGTTTTCCCCTTTAAGTTTTTTTCCTCTTTATCTTCTGAAGCTTTTCCTCCTTCAAATCTACCATGGTTATACAGAATCTATCCTAGTACTTTCCAACAAAAATTGACAGGTTTCACACTCAATTCCAAATCCAAAGAGGTCTGAACTTCATCAAATTTATTCACTCTGTGTGAAACTCATCTCATACAATGCCATCTAATAAGAGGTCCAGTTCATGCTTAGAGGGAAGAAAGAGCAGCATCTCCAGATGGCAATTTAACCAATCCTGAAGTAGATCCAAGAAGGATCATCCCGCTCTGTTTTGGAATGTTTCTGATTGCAGCTGCAGAAAGTTGTGTTAGCATGTGCAAATATGAGTAAAATATGCACTTCTTGAGTGCCTCATTTTGTCTTTTTTCTCCTTTATCATACAATTTGTGTAAATAGATGTAACAAATGATTTTGAATGCTGGAATTGAATACTTACCTGCTGATGGTGGGCCAATTAGAACAGCCATAGCTTCTGCCAGGAGCACTAAACCAATGGCACTGGAAAACTTCTGGGTACCAACAATAGCCATGAGAACTTCAAACTGAAGAGCACCTACCATTCCATAAGAAATGCCAAAGAAAATGCAAAAGACCACCAGGCCACCATAATCAACAGACATAGAACCCATGAGATCTGTAAAGCCATTAAAAATCATAGCAAAACTGAAGAGGTAGACACAGCGTGGTCTAACCCACTTGAGACCAGCTACCATTCCACAAATAGGCCGAGCAAAAATATCAATGAATCCCAGAATAGTCAGAAGAAATGCTGCTTTGGTGTCCTGATACCCTAAATCCTTGGCATAACTCACAACAAAAACTGGGGGAACAAAGAGTCCAAGCACCATGATAGATGCTGCTAGTGTGTAGATTACAAAGCCACCATCTTTAAATACACTGAAATCCAGAAGTTTTTTCTTTGCTTTCTTCTCAGCAGGTTCTTTGGTAGCGTCAGACTTTTTGGGTGGCTCCAAAGGTCTCATCAGTGCTCCACATACACAACAGTTGAGCAGCATCCCACCCAGTATAAGGAATCCTCCTCTCCAACCATACTCATGTTGAAGTATCTGCCCCAATGGTGAAAGGGCACAAAGAAACACTGGGCTCCCAGCAGCAGACAGCCCATTGGCTAAGGGCCGGCGTTTATCAAAGTAACGGTTTAACATGATGAGTGAAGGCTGAAAGTTAAGTGCCAGACCCAAACCTGTAATAGAATGTACAAAAAAAAAAATCAATATTGCCCTCCAATATTGCTTTAAAAAAACTAATTGCATGGTTTCTGATTCATAGTGTAAGATTGTTTTTTCTTCAACTGGACAAAAGAATTCCCAGTTAACATTTTTAAGAGTATTTCACCCCTATTCCTCTTATACTCTACAGTTTCACTTCACTGATAACAGCAGTGGCTATTAAACATACCAGAAAAGATAATACGAATTTAAAATAATTTTTAAAAAATCCAAATTTATCTTCTGTCTTTATAAAAGCCCATGTAGATGATCCCAATAGTTTAGACATTTGTCATTTATATGAAACTTCAGCCTAAAGCAAACACATTAGTTAAGTCATTTTCAATCATGCACATTACTTACCAGTAATCACACCTGCAGTTAGATAGATCTGAACGATGCTTGTGCAGAAGGAGGCTATCACCATTCCCATTGATGCAAAAAGGCCACCCACCAGCATGACAGGGCGACAGCCAAAGCGATTGACACATACGCTACAGAGTGGACCTAGGCAAGAAGACCAAGTTACAGTTGTTAAGATAAACCAATTTTTGCAGTTGATTTCACGTCAGTTCACATTTCTTTCCTTACTTTGCCCACACTGAGGCCAATCCAGAAGGTTGTGCCTTTCTCTAGAGTCAAATACTTCATCTTTTCCATTTACAGTGTTGTGCAATTTTTCTTTTCCATCATCTTTAGTTATGGAGCCTTTAGTTACGAAGTTACAGAGATTTAATTTTATATGGAAGCTGTATGTGCCTAAATAATTTCTGGATTTATGTGCTTGACAATAATTCTTGGAATGCCTTACTTGTACACAAGTAATGACACACCATCACGATTCACACTGCGAATCGCCGTATTATTTACAAACATTGTATGGTGCAACAATGGTTCAAAATCAGAGAACTACCTACCTGTTCCATAAAGCATGGCCAATAAAATGGAGGAAATCCAAGCAGTGTCACTATATCCAATACCAAATTCACGGATAAGTTCCTTGAAGAAAACACTAACTGCTTTAGGAAAGGCATAGGAGAATCCTGTGATGATAAAACAGCCAAAAAGGACAGCCCAGCCCCAGCCTCCATCGGGGGCTTTAACACCAGATGGACCATCATCAGCTACTACAGCTCCCATGACAAAGCTCAAGAGTGTTCCCTAAGAAACAAGAAACAGACATTTTACAGAAGAACATTTTCCAAGAAGCAGTTTACAGACATTGGGGGCCATTATCTACCCAAAATAGGCAGAACCTGCACTACAATTAAAGTTACAAACAAGATATTAGACTATTTTTAACAGAAATCTTGAAGATGCAGTGCTTTTTAACTATTCCTCGTTAAGGCTTACTAATCTACAAAAAATGACACAAAAATGAGACAGTAGAATTTTTAATGAACATCGCTTCACAGCTCTCCCGAAATCAAGCCTGTGTTTCAACTGAACCACCATTTCATAGAAAAAAACAGAGCCATTACAGCAGTTCAGTGATGTATTCAACTTTCATAAATATGTAACTACTGTGTTAAAGTCTGTCATTTTTGACCTTTTACATGAAACTCTTGGACTATTCACTTAGAAGACCTGGATGCAAAATCCCAGCACATCACAAGTGTTTTGTGTAACACTGGACAAATGGATTTTCTGAGGTCAACAATACAGCCTTGATGCACAGGTATCTTGAAAAGACGGACATCTCTTGGTAATTTTCATGAGCTATTAGTTTCCACACATGAAGTAAGCACCTAAGCTAGAGTACAATGAAAATCAGCATGGGCAGTTTTTGTGGAAGATCAGAGTTAGTAGCTTCAGCAATGTTTGGTTTTAATGTGTGCCTGGTGGCAATGCTTTCTACTGTTGTTATTACAGCATCAGTTTAATTTTCTAATATTTTATTTACTGAATCTTATCTTTTACACCTTCTATTTGTAGCCACAAGCTCCTTAATAAATATTTTTTTTTCTTGTGAGACTTTTATGTGCTACACAGAAATGCTACAAAGCTTTAAAAGAGGAAAAAAAAAATACTGAAGGGGCAGAGTGTTATTGTTAAGTGAAGACATCAGAGAGATGATATTAGGTATCACATCAATTAAGTTTCTGTAAGGTATCCTTATTACAGAAGACTTGACTTGTAAAGTGAAACTTCAGAAAAATTATATATAAAATCTTGTGTGAATAAAATGTGGCAATTTCTTTAAAGGACGATTAATACTCCTGTTGGCTCAATGTTCTTCTATAGCACTACCTAAAAGAGGAATGCAAGCACAGTTGCACATCAGAGAGGATGTTCATCACCAAAGGATGCTTCTGCTTTGAGAAACACAGGTCTCCCTAGTGATCGTTATGCGCTAGGAATTATGTGACCCAAAGAGTAAAGTACATCCACACAATCTCAGTGGCAGGTGGCTTTTGAGCCAAATCACCCTCAAAAGCTATTCGGCAGCGCGCTTGTTCCTTCCAGCAAAGCACTGCCAAAGCTTCTCGGAGTTTCTCCAGGGGAGCAGGAAGCTAATTCGGCAGCCGGCACACCGCAAACCCGGCCCGGAGGAAGGCCCAGCTCCTTCCCACTCTGGCTCCACTAGGCTACTAGTCTCCGAGCAGGGAATGCGCGGAGCCGCTTCCTCCCTGGCGCCGCGCGGGTCGGGCCGGGCCTGTCGGGGCGCTTCCCCGGTTGGGGCCCAATCCCCGGCCACGGACCGCCGGCGGTGGCACAGGGCGGTGCCCGCGGGGCGGGCCCAGCTGCCGCGACCCCGCGTGACCCCGCCGCTGCGACGTGCGGTGTCGCGAGCCTCCACGGCAGCCCGCGCGCCGGAGGCCGCCGCACTGAGACGTGAAGGACGTGACTGGGCGGGCGTGCGGGCGGGGCGCCTCCCGTAATTGCAGCAGACGCAGCCGACCGCGCCACCCGGGCACGGCGCTCCGCCCTGCCGCGCGCCTTCCCTGCCGCGCAGCGGGAACGTGCGGGCAGGGTTGACGCGGGGCTCCCGTGCAGTGCTCGCAGCCCGCGGAGCCCCGTTCGTTCGGGACAGGTAGAAATACCCTTCTCACCGGCCGGTCGCGTGCTCTTCCGCGCCTAGCAGAGCAGGTTACGCGGTAAGCGAAGTATTTTGTTCCAGCTGGCCGACGAGACTTACCAGCCCTGCCTGATGCAAGACAAACAAGCTCTAAGATGGTTTTGTTTTCTGTTATGGTGAAAAGGCCAGACTTGCAGACATAAGGGAACATGTACTACTCCCAGCATTTCATAAAAATAAGGCTATGGGAAACGGTAGCATCCATTTACTTTTCTTTTCATTGTATGACTAAGAATCACCATAAAACAACATACCAGACCCTCAGATGCCACCTTGTACACACTCATACATTAGTCTTGGTCTTCTAGTTTAATCCATGCATCGCTCATGTTAACACATCAGAATTAAAAGACCACTAACCTTAGCTAAACGAAACACATCTCTAAATACAGAGCAGGAAATTCACTTCATCCTGTTCCTTTCATCATGTTGTAGAGTGGCTTACTAGGCTTGCCTGTATTTACTTTCTGAAGAACTAAAAAGGAAGTAGCAGTGAGGTTTCTCTGTAAGGTTGTGCAAACTAGGGCCAGCACTGGAGGAGATGGGCTCATGGTTGATTTGCACAATTTTTTTTCTTATAATTTTGCTTCCAGTGCTTGGTATGGGGATATTGCCTTCCGCTTCTTGAGGCTACTTAGGTAACTACTGCAAAAGATTGCTTTTCTTTTTGTATTTGCTAGTTCAGGCCTGTTTAGAGGCAAAGGATCACATTTAGCTCTCTGCCGGTGAGTTTTAGGATCTAAACAAACAGACGTGATAGAATTGCCAGTATTTATTCCAGATTCCTTCCATTATAAATGGAATGGAACTGCCCAGAAAAGCTGTGGATGCCCCATCCCTGGAAGTATTTAAGGAAAGGTTGGATGGGGTTTAAGCAACCTGGTCAGGTAGAAGATGTCCCTCTCTGTGGCAGGGGAATTGAAATTTGATGATCTTTAAGGTCCCTTCCAACCCTATCCATTCTATGATTCTATGATAAATGAGTTCTTCCTTTGGTAATGTGTGAAACAAAGGGAGCAAGTGTAGTTAAATCTGTGTTTTCATGCTGTTGCCATGGGAACTAATACAGTCTGAAGGAAATATGAGGTGATTGTAGGTAGCATGGTCAGGGGTGGGTTTGGTGTGACAATGCTTGTAGTGCATATATAGAAAGACATTTGTTTTATAAAGAGCAGCAGCTAGAAAGGGCAAGAATTAATATTAGCGTGTAACCAACTTTACACAGTACTTTATGGTCAGCAGTTTGAGTGAGAAGGACATTTGTGAGTCTGTAGGCTGACCCATGTAGCTTGAGAACTTCTCCAGAACACATTTAACTAGGACAGATTTGCTAGAAATCTTGCCTAGGAATTCAAGGCTAGATAGAAATAAATGATGATCAAAGAGAAAACATGAACTTCCATGTAGGAGTCCCAGTTCAGACTGGAACCCCACTAGGCTGAGAGATGTACAATCACAAAAGGCAGTCCAAGATGAGCAAGGTAGAGATCCTTGTTTAGTTTCTTATCCATGGAATGAAAGCAATAACGATTCTTTCTTCATAGGGTGTTGTGAGAGCAATGGGTTGCCCTGCATCCCAACTGCCATTGGCCAGACTGCACTGTCTGGGCATTGAGCAGAGCTGGTGCCAACTGGAGCCCTGCTCCGGCTGCTGCAAAACATCACTGCCTCTGGCTTCCTCCTTCAGCATCTGGGTCACACCTGGGAGCGTAGAGCTACTGGCTCCAGTGCTTGAGCAGTGCTCCACCAGTGGCTCATGAGGCACCCACAAGATGGGCTTTGTTCCTGCCATCACTGGCTTCAGGCTGGTACTAGGATTCAAAGGTCTCCACATTCAGCCTTGCCTCCTCAATCCCTTTGCTACTACTTCTCAACTTTCATTTCAGTGTAGAGCCTGGGGGCTTACATTCCTGAGTTCCCATTGTCACAACAGTGGCAATTCAAATCTGCCAAAGCAAGCAAAGCACAGTCTGAGGGATTGTCCCCTGTAAGGACATTGCCACAGCCCCAGACATCAGGACATTAATGCTGTTACTCGGCTCTGTGAACGCTCTGAAAACGGTTGGTTAGGTGACTGGGCACTGAGCCTCGCAGCTGCCTCTCTAGAAATTGTGCCCGCAGCAGCAGGGAGCGCCCCGCAGGCGTCTTCTCGGCTTCAGGCTGTGCAGCTCTGTGCCTGCCCCAGGGCACAGCGCCTGTCACCATCGTGCTCCCAGCCCCTCCTCACACACAGAGGGGGCAGCCACGGCCCCTCTATGCCGGACCCTGCCTCTGTTGGGAAATAGCACTTTTTTGCTTGTAATCCACACAGAAAGGTCTTTGACTTGCCTTAATCTAACTGCTTCTGCACAGGGGAAAGAAAAAAAAAAAAAAAAAAAACATGCAAACAGCAGATTGAGTGGCAGCAATACGGCTTCCTTACCAGCGCAGAACACTGGCACCGGCACTGCTAGAAACAGCGGAAACATGCTTGGAAACACACTCTCTGGGATGGTAGATTTAAGTGCTTTTTGGATAAAGCAGTTGGTAAACTGTTTAGTTTAGGATGTCATAGGGTGAAGTCTTGTATTGTTTTGCAATATTTATTTCTGAGGGAGTGGAAGTTTGTTAAGGTGTGGCACTCAGCAGTTTAAAAGGTAAAACAGAATCTGTTACTACAGTACACCTGTTGTGGTTCAGTTAGAAGTATAACTCAAGGGAAATTATAAAGATATTAAGGTGACATATTGTGAATGAAGTGTGAAGTCACATACATCGATATATGATGCCATGTTACGCAGCTGCACTGTCCAAAGTGATTGTGTAACAGGATACCTATGGGCCAGCTGATCTTTCCCCAATACATTCAGCTATATTTGCTAGCCCAGCTTGAGATACAATGCACATGCATGTGAGCACCTTATATATCAGACCAGTCCCATGGTATTCCACAAAAATAAGCATGTAGGTACTGCTGGTGATGGGATTGAATCATTAATTAGTATTTATCTATCCTTATCAGTTTTTGTTTTTACACAAAGTAATTTCTCTACAGTAAACAACTGGAAAGTCAAATTGCAAAAGCACTACAATTGCAGGGCTGAAATTAATTCTCATGATACACGATAAACGAAATTTAATACTGTAACTCCTCTTTTTGAAAGCATACTGAAAGGAACTGGATAATTCAAATACAACATAAGTCACGTTTGTCATTGCTTCTGTGCACACAGAAAGGACGTGTCGTCTGGTCTCAAGGTCCCTCTGTGATGCTGACAGAAACAAATTTGCACTTATGGTAATAGGTGTGGCATAAAAACAAACAAACAGCATTGGTTTCATAAAAATAAGCCCAATTCTCAGAAACCGAACATTTGATATAGAGACAATAATTGCTGAGGTCAATGATGCTATTGTTACAGAACTAGTGTATTTGTCTCAAAGGTGGTACCCAAGAAGAGTGAACTGTTCGTTACAAGTTGTGTTTGTAATTAAGGAAAATATTTATCTTGAGATTAAAAGAGATGTTTTTTTCTTGGTAAGAAGAAAGTCACAATAATAATTAATCTTTCATCTTCAAGTTATTATGCAGATCCATGACTTTTTTGCTCTTAGACCACCATAAGCTGGGGGTACTTGCTGGTAACGTGCTCATTAAGGAAAAAAAAGGCTATAATATAAGCTGATTTTCCCCAGATAATATAAAGAAAACAATTCTAACATGTTCATTATAAAAACAAACAAACAAACTCAACTTCCCCTGCAGAACAGTTTACCCTGATAATATAATGGACACTGATCACCATTCTTTGTACAAATAAACCTGCAGCGGGAATCCACTGTGTCATTCTAGTCTGCTAGTAACTCATGATGTGTGTTAGTGTAGCACTGAAGCAACAGCAAAATGGTTTGAGGCTAAGTGGGAACAGGAGACTGGTTAATAATAAGCGTTGGTATAGAACACCACCAGCAAGTATAAACAGCACTGAATTACTTGTTTATCCCAGGAGTTTGGAGAGTGAGATAGGAGAATAGTGAAAGCTGGCAAGCCCTTAAGAGAAGCAAATGCAGCACAACCAGAAAACTGATAAAACAAAGAAGACCAAAATGGGAGAATGAAAATCATGGGGAGCCCTACTGGGGAGGACAGGAGGTCAGGGAAGGCATTGGCAAATATGATAATGCTTTTGTAGGGAGTGGGAATTACAGCAATCTTTGGAAATGGATGTTTGATTAAAATGGCTGGCATTTAAGCAGATAAGCCACAAGTAGTGCGCTACTGTGTCAGACAGGGGCCTGTCAAGATGCTTTGTAGGAAGTACCTAAGCATGAGTTACAATAAATAAATTGAATTAAAGTATGTGCATCCCCGATTGAGAACAGGTCCCCTCGCGCCGGGGAGAACCGAGAGCGGGAGCCGGCGCCCCGCCGCGGGGTCCCCCAGTCCCGCGCGGGGAGCCCGGCGGAGCGGGGGCAGAGCGCACCGTGCCCACCGCCCCAGCGGGCCCCCGCGCAGCCGCGGGGCGAGGGATGCAGCGGCGCCGCCCGCGCCGCGATCGCACAAAGCTTCGCGCACGCCGAGCGCTGCCCGAGTGGCACCAGGCGGAGGCGCGCCCGTCTCCCGCCCATGCTCCGGAGAGGGCTCGCCCGGCTCGGACCCCCGCGCTCCCCACGCTGCCCGCGGCGCCCGGCCCCTCGCGCCCAAGCGGTCGGCAGCATCGCGCGCGGCGAGCTCCACCTCAGTACCTGAGTCACGTCCCGCGCCTCGGCGTGGGGATGCCCTGAGCGCGCCGGACCGCTGCCCGCTCACCCCGTGCGCCCGCGCTGACCCGTCCCAGCCCGTCTGCGCCCCGCCGGCTGCGGAGCGCTTCGGCGAGGCAGGACGCGTCTGCTCGCCCCTCCCCTGCCGGAGCGGGGCCGCCCGGGTCCTAGCGCCGCCACGTGCCCCTTTCCCGCCGCTACGGGCCAGCCGGCGCAGAGCCGGCGCAGGGGCTCCGCGGCCGCGTGCAGCCCGGCTCAGCGGCTCGCCGGGGCGGCTGGAAGGGCGCCCGCTCGAAGCGGAGCCTCCGCGGGCGCCTGAGGCCGCGCAGGCCGTCGCGCAGGGCACCGACACCGGCACGAGCTTCCTGAGGCACTCGCGGGGCGCCACGCGGGGCTGAATCCAGCCAGCATGGGATGTCGCCCTAGCTGCCCAAAGGAGCCATGGGCTTTCATAAACAAATCGGCCTCTGTAGCTGAGCTTTGTTCTGTGCTGCCATTTCTGTTTTCCACGGAGCGATCACAGTTCCTTTGTTGTTTCTTCACATAAGAAGGACTTCTATGAGCTTCCTTCCTTTTTAAATTCAGGTGGAGTGATCTGTCTGTTGATCTGCTGTGGCTCTACTGGTATTCATACAAATGTTGAATTATAAAACTGAGTGTGTGTAAAACTGTGAACAACTGCTATTGTTCAGCAGCCATGCAAGTTGTGGTGGGTTCTTGAAGTGTAGCACAGAAAGTAGCATTCCTTGGGCTAGGAATAGGTGCTCCATTTTGTAGAGCTCTTAACAGCACACAATCCAGTCCATGTTTTTATCATTTTAGCAGTCAGGCTTACAAAGAGGAAAAAGTGGCTGAAGGATTGTTACTGATTGTAGGAATAATAGAAATAACATAGTGTAATAGGAATCAAGTAGCTGACATTAGGACAAAGCTTCATTTTTGTTAAGCTTAGATCTTCCTATGGCAAATTTCCTTCCTTAACACCTAAACTGTAGAGATGTGTCTGTGTCATAACATTTTTGATTGGCAGTTTACTAATTGTTTACTATTCCATTCGAACTGCACTCTTTGCAGTTCCCTTTGTAGGTAAGTCCTAAATATTACCTTCAAAGTGCCTGTAAATATTTTTTCTTACTAAGCTTTTATAGATATTTTATTTTTGAGGCTATGTTTTCTCATTTACACTTGAATTTAACATGTTATATTAATTACAGATTTCTACTGCAATGTTTTTAAGAATGTTAACAATAACATTGAACGTTTCAAACGGTTTCAGACACCGCTAACTGCACTGTGTGGGCATACATTTCTGCCTTTGCTTCAGAAGGTACATGCAGCAGACCATGTACAAAGAGCCCTTGTAAGATCTTAACTGCAGAAAGACCAGGAATATTTGGAGTGGAGGTTTCAACAGTTTTTAGTTTGTTTCTAAAGCAAGTATGAAAATAAAGGCCTTTTTATTACTTTCAAGATGCATTTGAGGAACATGAACTGTACCTACAAAGATGTGCATAGTCTTAAAAATAAGAACCCACAGTTATTGTACAGATAGACATGGAAATCAAATTCTCCTAACCTGGATGAAACTGGAATTTAAGTGTTTCCTAAATACACATTTAAATGTTGCTTAGTAGCAGCACCCAAATTTCAGAGATACTGGGGATCAAAAGGTCCCCTAGAGTCCCTTGCAAGCTGGGCCACTTTTATTTAGAAGATCATCTTTAAAATGTTAGTTTTGGTTTATATATTTTTGCTTACATTTATTGTTTGTCAAGTAGTATTCCCTATACCAAAAACATTCCTTGTGGTTCCAAGCCACATGTAAATGTTGCTATTTTGCAATACAGTGATGGGGCCAAAGACTTGTACTTAGAAGCTGTGTCTCAGAGGTGGCTGAAATCTGCCTTGTGGCTATATCTTCCCGAACTCACTAGTGTTTGGTAAGATCAGAAAGTCTGGTTCTCCATTCTAAAGTCCTTTTAATTTTTGTTATAATAGAAAATGCTTCCTTTCATTTCTGTCTGTGAAACCAGGACGTCTTCTGCATTTATTTTAGGGGTGTATGGCTTTCTACCCTGATGCAAAACTCCATGTTGTGTAGACTGTAATCTTTTTTGACTCACTATTAAGATTAAGATTGACCAATTCTAAGCAGTATTGAATTAGTAGAAGCTACCAGTCACTCATTTGGGGAACCAACGTGCATTACTTGTGTGACTAGGAACTATCTGAAGATACCTTGGAGAAGATGACAGCTAATCTGAACGAAGGGGGGGAAGGGGAGGAGGAAGTGTTGCAAAAGATAACACAGTTGATAGGCGGAGCAACCCCAGGGTAAGAAAAGGAGTACGCCAAAATGGTATATGGATTTAAGCATTCACCTACTATGTATTGATTCTGATGAATGCTTTGAGAGGCCCAGTGCAAAGTGTAAGTTATGTTTGGACTTGCAGTGTAATTTTTGTATGCTCAGAAGATTTTGAAGATGATTTGAGGCCAGATTTCATTGTGTATTTTAAACCAGAGGTGATTTATGTAAACAAATGAACAGAATCCCTTTATTAAGTTAGTGTTTTGATATTATATGTAGATACACTTCATGTAACTAAATGAAACATAGTTTAATTCAAAAGACCGGTTATTAGTTCTGATTCTAATTTTCAATAATAGCTACCAGTGGAAATAACTTATCCTTTACTTAGGTGATGTGGGGTCAGAATTATTTTTTTTCTCCGATGTCCTAAGAAAACAGAAGTAAGAACTACTGAAAATGTTCTACTTTCTAAAAATTAGCATACTTCAGGTATAATTACAATTCATGCAACATTCAGGTTTCTGAAAGGTCTCTCATCTGGCAAAGCATTTTGTATAATCCAGAAGCATGAGAGAAAAAAAGAAAGCATTACAGGAAGTTTGCCTCGTGACTTCCAGACAAGCAAGTCATCTAGAGTGACTAAGAGAAAATCACACTTTACGGCCAGTTCATGCATTACATCTTCCTCAGTGTCACGTAGACGATGTACTCTGTTTTAATTGATTGATACATTTGTGAATAATGAAGTGGCTTGGTAGCAGAACATACTTATCTGTGCTGCATAACCTGTAGTTTCAGTTTGCCCGAGCTTGGGTTTTACAAGCTTTTTGAAGCTTTTCAAGCAATGCACAGGGAGTTAGGAGAGAATGGAAAGCTTGCTCTCTGTCAACTCCTGTTTCAAACAGCTGTGCCCACAATAGGCTGAGGTGCTCTTTCCTGATCTGGAGTAGGGAGAAATTGTTTAATACTAATGAATGAAACAGGAAGACATGCAAACAGCTAAATGGTATTTGGGACTATGACACAAGTGTTGGCTGTGTGTTGGAAGAAGTGGGTATTATTAAAAGAGGCTGGAATTAAAAAGGAGTGTGTGCTTACTCACACAACGTGACGGAAGGACTGCTGTATGTTAACGGGGAAGATGCGAGCAAAAAATTATGGTACTAGGCGGCTGGGAGCGAATGCTAGGAGAGAAACCGATTAGCACTGGTTTATTGAGCAAGAAGGGGGGAAGCGAAGGGAACCGACTGGCGGTACCGAACAAGGCTGGAGCAGGCGGCAGCTCGCGGCTGACGGCCGCGGGGCCAGCGGTGGGCGGGCGGGGCCGCGGCCGGCGGAGCGCGGACTGGGTACGAGCCCTGCTCGCCGGAGGCCCGCCCGCGGCTAACGCTGGGACGGACGTCAGGGGCCGCGGTTCCCATGGTGACGCCCCCCCCCCCACCGGGCAGGCGGGGCCCACCACGGTTCCCATAGAGACACGGCCTACAGCCGCGAGCAGGAGGACGGGTGGGTTGGCGTTGGTAGGAGCCAAGCTGTGCCCGGGTTACTCCGCGTGCGCCATCGGAAGGCGTATCGTCCGCGCGTCTTCTGCTTGTCCTTCAGGGCTGCCACGCGGCACCCGCGCGTCTTGTGCCCCCGCTCTCAGCGGGGACCTGTCTTTCTGCTCTCCCTGCCACGAAGTGCCCTCTATCTGCTGCCTCTGAGTCCCAAGCATTATCTTCTGTTATGCTCTGCTCTTCTCTACTGCCTTCTTTCAGGGTACTCGACCTCTGTAGTCTGCCTGCCATCTGCATGTGCTTTTCTGCCTTGGAGCGCTAGACTCAAGACTCTCTGAGCCGTCTATGGGACCTTTCACTCCTCATCCCACAATCTGCTTCCCGCCTGCTGGCTTTCCACTAGGCAATGTTTTCATTCTCTCTTGATTAATTCTTTTTCTCCCTCTCCGCACTTAAAGCGTCCCTCAGAGTACTTGGTCCTTGGCTTGCCAGTAGCTTTCCTTTCTTCCATCTGTGCATCAGTCTCTTCTTCTTGTTCCTGAGAATACTTGCTCTAGGGATACAGTGTTAGTGCTTCTTGTAATTTGTAACCTTCTATTTATCTTCCTGGATACTCTTTAGCATACGTGCCTGTTTCCTAGTCTCAGGGGTAATTGTTTCTTACGGTCATACTTTGTCTTTTATTTATGCAGTCCCTCGTGCCTTCTATTCTTCTGCTTGTCCTAATAGCAGAGCCTGACATCAGGCAGTCATGAACCCCCATAGTACAGCCCATCACATACTTTGCCAGCTGTGTCCCTGTTTATTACCAGACATCCCAGGTTTCTTTTACATGTTACTGGTCCTTAACCTATCCTCCAGTTTCTGCTATATTTTGTCTGCTCTGATAAGATTGTATAATGCATGATGTATGTTTGCTGTTTTATATGACTGACCTTACTTGGAAGGTAAATAGCAGAAGAGCTACTAACAGTGAAGAGAGAAACAGCAAGTGCTACTAACTTGTATCACTAACTGTAGTATTTTTTTTCTTGGTGTGTGTTGGTTTGTTTTTGTTTTTGCTTTTGTTTTGCAACACTGATAGGGCACAGAACGACTTAACACTGTAGCTGCACATATGTGGCTTGTGCTACTTGAACGTCTTCCTGTGACTTGCAGCACATAGTGAAACATCTGTGATAAAATTCAGGTGGTCTTGTTTTGTTTTGTTTCTTACTGCTTCATCAAGGAAAACAGTTGCGACTAGACAGAGACACATAATGGTTACAGGCTATGTGGGAGTGTCTCACTTCTGTTAGTAGTTTTGAAAAGAATCCAAGCAATACTA